ATGGCCATTTGACAATATTAATTCTTCCTAGCCAAGAGCATGGGATGAGTTTCCATTTGTTAGTGTCCTCTTTAATTTCTCCTAAGAGTGTCTTGTAGTTTTTAGGGTATAGGTCTTTCACTTCCTTGGTTATGTTTATTCCTAGGTATTTTATTCTTTTAGATACAATTTTGAATGGAATTGTCTTCCTGATTTCACTTTCTGCTAGTTCATCATTACTGTATAGGAATGCAGCAGATTTCTGTGTATTAATTTTGTATCCTGCAACTTGTCTGAATTCAGATGTTTCTTATAGTAGTTTTTGAGGGGATTCTTTAGGGTTTTTATGTACAGTATCATTTCATCTGCAAACAGGGATAATTTGACTTCTTCCTTTGTCAATCTTGATGCCTTTTATTTCTTTGTGTTGTCTGATAGCCATGGCTAGGACCTCCAGAACTATGTTGAATAAAAGTGGGAAGAATGGGCATCCTTGTCTTGTTCCCAATCTTAAAGGAAAAGCTTTCAGCTTCTCGCTGTTAGTATAATGTTGGCTGTGGTTTTGTCATATATGGCCTTTATTATGTTGAGGTGCTTGCCCTCTATACCCGTTTTTTTGAGAGTTTTTATCATGAATAGATGTTGAATTTTGTTGAATGCTTTTTCACCATCTTTAGAGAAGATCATGTGGTTTTTGTCCTTTTTGTTAATGTGGTAGAAGATGTTGATGGATTTTCGAATGTTGTACCATCCTTGCATCCCTGGATGAATCCTACTTGATCATGATGGATGATCCTCTTGATGTATTTTTGAATTCAGTTTGCTAATATTTTGTTGAGTATTTTTGTATCTATATTTATCAGGGATATTGGTCTGTAATTTTCTCTTTTTGGGGTGTCTTTGCCTAATTTTGGTATTAGAGTGATGTTGGCCTCGTAGAATGAGTTTGGGTGGAGTATTCCCTCCTCTTCTACTTTTTGGAAAACTTTGAGGAGGATGGGTATTAGGTCTTCACTAAATGTTTGAAAAAATTCAGCAGTGAAACCATCTGGAACAGGGGTTTTGTTCTTAGGTAGTTTTTTGATTTCCAGTTCAATTTCCTTCCTGGTAATTGGTCTATTCAGATTTTCTGGTCGTTTCTGGGTCAGGCTTGGAAGGTTGTATTTTTCTAGAAAGTTGTGCATTTCTTCTAGGTTATCCAGTTTGTTGACATAATTTTTCATAGTATTCTTTCATAATTCTTTTTATTTCTGTGGTGTCTGTTGTGACTTTTCCTTTCTCATTTCTGATTCTGTTTATGTGTGTAGACTCTTTTTTTTTGATAAGTCTGGCTGGAGTTTTATCTATTTTGTTTATTTTCTTGAAGAACCAGCTCCTGCTTCCATTGATTCTTTCTATTGTTTTATTCTCCTTGAATTTATTTATTTCTGCTCTAATCTTTATTATGTCCCTCCTTCTACTGACTTTTCACCTCATTTGTTCTTTCTTTTCTAGTTTCATCCATTGTGAGTTTCGACTGTTCATTTGGGATAGTTCTTTTCTGAGGTAGGCCTGTGTTGCAGTATACTTCCCTCTTAGCACGGCCTTCGCTTTGTCCCACAGATTTTTGTGGTGTTGAATTATTGTTGTCATTTGTCTCCATATATTGCTTGATCTCTGTTTTTATTGTGTCATTGATCCATTCATTATTTTGGAGCATATTATTAAGCCTCCATGTGTTTGTGGGCTTTTTGCATTTTCTTTGTGTAATTTATTTCTAATTTCATACCTTTGTGGTCTGAGAAGCTGGTTGGTACAATTTCAATCTTTTTGAATTTACTGAGGCTCTTTTTGTGGCTGAGTATATGATCTATTCTTGAAAATATTTCATGTGCACTTGAGAAGAATGTGTATTCTGTTGCTTTTGAATTGGGTGTTCTGTAGTTCTAGTGTATTGTTCAGTGTCTCTGTGTCCTTATGTTATTTTCTGTCTGGTTGATCTGTCCTTTGGAGTGAGTGGTGTGTTGAAGTCTCCTAATATGAATGCATTGCACTCTATTCTCCCCTGTAATTCTGTTAGTATTTGTTTCACATATGCACCCAACACAGTGGTCCTGTGTTGGGTGCATTGTTATTTATAATAGTTATATCCTCTTGTTGGACTGGCCCCTTTATTATTATTTAATGTCCTTCTTTGTCTCTTGTTACTTTCTTTGTTTTGAAGTCTTATTTTGTCTGATACAAGTACTGCAACTCCTGCTTTTTTCTCCCTATTAGTTGCATGAAATATCTTTTTCCATACCTTGACTTTCAGTCTGTGTATGTCTTTGGGTTTGAAGTGAGTCTCTTGTAGGCAGTGTACAGTTGGGTCTTGTATTTTTATCCATTCAATGACTGTGTCTTTTGATTGGTGCATTTAGTCCATTTACATTTAGGGTGATTATAGATAGGTATGTACTTATTGCCATTGCAGGCTTTAGATTCGTGGTTACTGAAGGTTCAAGGGTAATTCCCTTACTGTCTAACATTCTCATTTAACTCACTTTGTATGCTATTACAAACACAACCTAAAGGTTCTTTTTTTCTTCTCTTTTTTATTCCTCCTCCATTCTTTATATGTTAGGTATCATGTTCTGTACTATTTGTCTATCCATTGATTGACTTTGGGGGTAGTTGATTTGATTTTGCATCTGCTTTGTAATTAATTGTTCTACTTTGCTGTGGTTTTATTTCCCCTGGTGACATCTCTTTAGCTTTAGGAATACTTACATCTGTACAGTCCCTCCAAAATGCACTGTAGAGGTGGTTTGTGGGAAGTAAATTTTCTCAGCTTTTGCTTATCTGAAAATTATTTAATCCCTCCTTCAAATTTAGATAACCCTGCCGGTTAGAGTATTCTTGGTTTGAGGCACTTCTGCTTCATTGCATTAAATGTATCATGCCACTCCCTTCTGGCCTCTAAGGTTTCTGTTAAGAAATCTGATGATAGCCTGATGGGCTTTCTTTTGTATGTGATCTTTTTTCTCTGTCTAGCTGCTTTTAGAAGTCTTTCTTTATCCTTGATCTTTGCCATTTTTATTATTGTATGTGTTGATGTTGTCGTCCTTGGGTCTCTTGTGTTGGGAGAACTGTGCACCTCCATGTCTTGAGAGACTATCTCCTTCCCCAAATTGGGGAGGTTTTCAGCAATTACCTCCTCCATGTTACTTTCTAACCTTTTTTCTCTCTCTTCTTCTGGTACCCCTATAATGCGAATATTGTTCCATTTGGATTGGTCACACAGTTCTCAATATTCTTTCATTCTTAGAGATCGTTTTTTCTCTCTGTGCCTCAGCTTCTTTGTATTACTCTTTTCTAATTTCTATTCCATTTACTATCTCTTCTGCTACATCCAGTCTGCTTGTAAATCCCTCCATTGTATGTTTTATTTCAGACCTGGAATTTCTTTATGATTGAAACTTCATCTTAAATTCATTACTGACCTCTTTAATATTTTTCTTTACCTCTATGAGCATGTTTGTGATTTTTATTTTAAACTCTGTTTCAGGAAGATTGGTGAGTTCAGTTTCATTTGGCCCTTTTTCTGGGGTTTGTGAGATTTTTGTCTGAACCAGGGTCCTTTGACGTTCCGTATTTCTATATGGTGCCCTCTAGTGCCCAGAAGATCTAGTCTCTGGAGCTGCTCAGCCCTAGAGTGAGGTTGGTGGTCGTAGGGGAGAGGGGCTGGTGCCTGGGGAAGGAAAGAGCTGTTTCCTGATTCCCAGCTGCAGTGCCTTTCTGCAGTATCAGAGCCAGTGGGATTAGCACACAGGTGTAAGTCTCTGTGCTTTGTGTCTCTGGCTGTTGTAGCCAGGACCTGCCTCTGGCTAGCCTGATGCCAGCACAGTGACTGCTGGTTTGCAAGCCAGTGCCTGTAGGCCAGGAGGAAGGCACAGCAGGCTGTGTGTCATAGTGGAGGACCTCGGAGCTGAGTAGCCAGCCAGGGTTATGGAGCATCTGAAGCTCGTCAGAGTTCCCACCCTGCTGGGCAGAGCACACCCAGACAACCTTGTTCACCTGTCACGTCTGCTCAGCAAGCTCTGTGCAAACCCCATCCCTTTAGCATCTCTCTTGTTGCTAGGAAGCCTCTCAGACCACCTGCCTTTCCTTTGTCCCAGACTGGCCGGATGTGGATCCCCTTCCTTCACAAATGGCTGAAATCTATCAAGCACTCTGCGTGTCCCACCTACCCAACACCACCAACCTCCAGAGCACTACACAGTGTAGGTTTGTGCTCCAAAGCAGACCTCCAGGGCTGGGTGTTTAGCAGTCTTAGGATTCCACCCGCTCCCTGCTCTGTTTCTCTTCCTCCCACTGGTGTGCTGGGGTCGGGGAAGGGCTTGGGTCCCATCAGATCAAGGCTTTGGTACGTTACCCTGGTTCGTCAGGTCTGCTGTGTTTGTGAGGTCTGTATGCAGTCTGGTGCAGCCTTCCCTCCTGTTGCTGTTCCTTGGTTAATTGCATTAACTATATTTTTGTACTATATGTGACTTTGGGAGGAGTTCTCTGTGTCACCCCTCACACCACCATCTTGAATCCCCAATTTTTTGGAGTTTAGGATGGATTCATATACTTACTTAATTATTCACAAAACCCAATTATGAACCCATTTGGACCTATGCTTATCTTTGTGGGGTATTTAAATTTTTCTTTTTTTCTCTTTCTTTTTTATTATTCTGTTCAGATATTCTATCTCCTTGAAGTTTTTAGGTATTTGTGTCTCTATTCTCTTTAAAACATCTTTGTACTACTTAAGTGGACTTGGGACAAATATAGGTCAATGGAGGTTCTCTGTCTGATTTTCATCCAGATGCAGTTCTTACCACTTTGGTTCTTGGAAACTGACAACCATTCTTTAATTCTTTCTGTCATTTTCATTGTTTGAAACAATTTGGTGGCAAAAATAATCAAGTCCTTCTTTTTAAACAGTTGAGATTTTACTCAAAACAAGTATGTTTAATTATTTGTATTGTTGATTTGCACTTGTTTTGATCTGGTTTTAGAAGTCCTACAGGTGGCAACTACTAGCCCAACTACCAATACTACTGGTACTTCTACTTCCTCCACCACTGTGGGTACAGTTAAGCAAGAACCTTTCTACACTACTTCACCTGCAGTAAATACCCTGGAAAACATAAGCTCAACACATCCCCCGAAGCCCTTCGAACAAGGTGGTCTTCCTTCAGACCAGTTTGCAAAAGGACAGAGCACTGTTGCCATACAAGGTTTCACAGATGAGGAGAACACAGAAAGCGGAGGAGAAGGCCAATACAAAGAACGTGATGAATTTGTGATAAAGATAGAAGACATAGAGACGTTTAAGGTGATGTTAATGTTCACACACATAAAGGTCATAGTTTAGTGGGAGTGCACTATGAATAGCCTTCACGACAACTTTAATAGCAAGCATATAGCTTGAATTGCAAAAAGTTGTGTTTTTTTTTTATTATTCTGTTATAATTGCTAAATAATAAACTAGTGGATGTCAGATATTTTGGAAAAGCAAATAGCAGAACATGATTTTAAATTATATTTTGGTTTTATATATTTCAACTAGTCAGTACGCTGCATTTAGGTGCTAGTGATCAGAGCAGTTTTGAAATGTTAATTCTTTCCAAAGTTTCCAACTCATTGTATATTAGGTGTTTGGACAAAATGGTTATTTGCCTAATTTAAAAGTTTAAAGAAAATAACAGGAATGTAATGTAAAAATAGAATTAGATATATTTCCATAATTTCAAATTGTAGAATCATGATTTAGAATGTTAAAATTTCCTACAAGGAAAGTTTAGCTATGTTTAAGAAAACCTGTTTTAGGGCTTTTGTTTGCTTGTTTTTTATTTTTATTTTTATTTTTTTAACTGGGGCAGAGGGGAATGGCATTAAAAAGTACAGTAAAGGACATAACATTCAAATTATCTATATACTCCTATACACAATTAACTACTATTAATATTTAAGCATATTTGTTTCTGGTCTTTATGAGTATGTAAATAGTTATTGAATTTCATAAGTAGTATATGACAATGTCATTAGAAGAAAACTTTCCAAAAGCCATGCAGAAGGGTGATAGGCTACTTTGCATGTTGGTGTGCTCCCTATGTCTGGAAGAATTTAACGAGATACTGAAGAGCCAGCTTATAGGAATTATTCAAAAGTTCAGCTAGGAAAATGATAAAAAGTTTAAGTTAGATAGGTCTTTAAGATTCCTTTCACCTCTAAGATTGTATAAATCTGAATATGTTGCTAGTTTTTATAAATGTAATTAATTCTCTATATTACAGGAGGCTTTAAAAACAGGAAAAGAACCCCCAGCTATTTGGAAAGTACAAAAAGCTTTATTACAGAAGTTTGTTCCTGAAATTCGAGATGGGCTAAGAGAATTTGCTGCTACAAATAGTGTAAGTAAAATGCTTGTTTAATTAGCCTTCCTAGTTTTTGACAGTGATCCTGGGGAAATTACAGAATGATTTAAACTTGAATGTATTTTATATTGAGCATTTCTGATGTATAATAGCATAAAAATTGAACTACAGAGTATATGATACTGAGAGTTTGATTTTAAAATAAAATCAATGTGTAAATACCAGCTACTTAAAAGTCTTTTCTTACTGTTGTTTAGTCTTTTTTTTTTTTTTAAGGAATTAGTATTATTCTGTGAAGACTTCAGATGGACACAGAGACAGGCTCTTTTACTTTTTAATTTTTTTAAAGTGTAGTTGATACACAATCTTATATTTGTTTCAGGTATAAATCACAGTAGTTCACCAGTTACCCACATTACTAAGTCCTCACCCCAACTAGTGCAATTACTATTCTGTCACCATAGAAAGATGTTACAGAATCATTGGCAATATTCTCCATGCTGTACCAACATATACTGTGATTGAGAATTTGGGTGCCCCTTTATCCCCATCACCCTCTCCACCCACCGACCCCAACCTCTCCACCATGGGACCACCAGTCACTTCTCAGTGTCTATAAGTCTTCTGCTATTTTGTTTTGTTTTGTTTTTAGATTCCACAAATAAATGAAATCATGCAGTATTTGTCTTTCTCCATCTGCCTTACTTCACTGAGCATAATACCCTCTATGTCCATCCATGTTGTCACAAATGGCAGGATTTCTTTCTTTTTTATGGCTGAATTAAAAATTCATTGGTATACATATTTCATTGTGTATATGCACCACATCTTTTTTATCCATTCATCTATTGATAGACACTTTGGTTGCTTCCATATCTTAGCTATTATAAATAATGTGGCAGTAAACACGTATCTTTTTGAATCAGAGATTCTGTTTTCCTTGGATAAATTCCTACAAGTAGAATTACTGGGTTGTATGGTATGTCTCTTTTTAGTTTTTTGAGAAACCTCCATACTGCTTTCCATAATGGCTGCACCAATTTACTTTCCCACCAACAGTGCAGGAGGGTTCTCTTTTCTCCACCTCCTCGTCAGTACTTGTTATTGCATGTCTTTTCTATAGTGGGCATTCTGACTAGTGTGAGGTGATATCTCATTGTGGTTTTGATTTGCATTTCCCTAATGGTTAGTGAGGTTAGTGATGTGGAGTGTCTTTTCATGTGCCTGTTAGCCATCTGTATTTCTTCTTTGGAGAAATGTCTTTTCAGGTTCTATGCCCATTTTTTAATTGTTTTGGGGTTTTTTTTGGTGTTGAGGCATAGGAGTTCCTTATATATTTTGAATGTCAACTCTTGTCAGATAAATCATTTATGAATACATTCCCCCATACTGCAGGTTGCCTTTTTGTTTGGTTGATGGTGTCCTTTGCTTTACAGTTTCATAGTCTCACTTTTTCATTTTTTATTTTGTTTCCCTATCCCTGGGACATGTGTCCAGGAAGAAATTGTTAATGCTTGTCTTCAAGAGATTTGAGCTCATGTTTTCTTCTATAGGTTTTATGGTTTCATGTCTTACTTTGAGGTCTTTGATCCATTCTAGGTTTAGTTTTGTTTATGGAGTTAGACAGTAATCTGGTTTCACTCTGCTGTATGTAGCTATCCAATTTCCCAGTACTAGTTATTGAGGACCCTGTCTTTTCCCCATTGTATATTCATGGCTACATTATCGTGTATTAATTGACTTTATATATGTGAGTTTATATCTGGGCGCTCTATTGTGTTCCATCAATCTATAGGTCAGTTCTTGTGCCAGTACCATACTACTGATTAGTGTAACTTTGTAATATGGCTTGAAGTCAGAGCATAATCCCGCCAGCTTTGTTCTTTCTCAGGATTGCTTTGGCTATTCAAGGTCTTTTGTGGTTCCATGTGAATTTTAGAACTGTGTTCTACTTCATTGAAAAATGCTGTTCATATTTTGATAGTAATTGCATTGAATCTATAAATTGGTTTGGACAGGATGGCCATTTTGATAGTATTAATTCTTTGTATTCATGAGCACAGTCTAGATTTTCATTTATTTGTGTCTTTAATTTCTCATAAGTGTCTTAGAGTTTTCAGAGTAACAGGCTTTTACTTGCTTGGTTAGGTTTATTCCTAGATATTTTATTCTTTTCATGGAATTGTAAATGGAATTGTTTTCCTGATTTCTCTTTCTGCCAATTCATTGTTAGTATATAGGAATGCAACAGATTTCTGTCTATTAATTTTGTATCCTGCAACTTTGCTGAATCCACTTATTAGTTCTAATAGTTTCTTGGTGAAGTATTTAGGGTTTTTTCTTTTTTTCTTTTGCTATCATTAATATACAATCACATAAGCAACTTTATGGTTACTAGATTCTCCCCATTATCAAGTCTCCACCACATACCCCGTTACCATCATGGTCCATCAGCGTAGTAAGATGCTATAGAGTCAATACTTGTCTTCTACGTGGTATACTGCTTTGCCTGTGCCCCCCCTACATAATGTGTGCTAATTGTAATGCCCCTTATTCCCTTTATCTCCCCTTCCCGCCCACCCTTTCCCAGTCCCTTTCCCTTTCCCTTTGGTAACTATTAGTCCATTCTTGGGTTCTGTGAGTCTGCTGCTGTTTTGTTCCTTCAGTTTTTTTCTTTGTTCTTATACTCCACATATGAGTGAAATCATTTGATACTTGTCTTTCTCTGCCTGGCTTATTTCACTGAACATAATACCCTCTAGCTCCATCCATTAGGTTACAAATGGTAGGATTTGTTTTCTTCTTATGACTGAATAATATTCCATTGTGTATATGTACCACATCTTCTTTATCCATTCATCTACTGATGGACACTTAAGTTACTTCCATTTCATGGCTGTTGTACATGGTGCTGCGATACACACCCATCCTACCCAGTCCCTTTCCCTTTGGTAACTGTTAGTCCATTCTTGGGTTCTGTAAGTCTGCTGCTGTTTTGTTCCTTCAGTTTTATCTTTGTTCTTATACTCCACAGATGAGTGAAATCATTTGATACTTGTCTTTCTCTTCCTGGCTTATTTCACTGAACATAATACCCTCTAGCTCCATCCATGTTGTTGCAAATCGTAGGATTTGTTTTCTTCTTATGGCTGAACAATATTCCATTGTATAATATGGAACATATCTTCTTTATCCATTCATCTACTGATGGACACTTAGTTGCTTCCCTTTCATGGCTGTTGTAAATAGTGCTGCAATAAACATAGGGGTGCATATGTCTTTTTCAAACTGAGCTGCTACATTCTTTGGGTAAACTCCTAGGACTGGAATTCCTGGGTCAAATGGTATTTCTATTTTGACTTTTTTGAGGAACCTCCATATACTGCTTTCCACAATGGTTGAACTAATTTACAGTCCCACCGTGTAGGAGAGTTCCCCTTTCTCCACAACCACGCCAACATTTGTTGTTGTTTGTCTTTTGGATGGTGGTGATCCTTACTTGTGTGAGGTGATACCTTATTGTAGTTTTAAATTACATTTCTCTGTAACTAGCAATGTGGAGCATCTTTTCATGTGTCTGTTGGCTATCTGAATTTCTTCTTTGGAGAAGTATCTGTTCAGACCCTATGCCCATTTTTTAATTGGATTATTTGCTTTTTGTTTGTTGAGGTCTGTGAGCTCTTTATATATTTTGGATGTCAACCCTTTATCGGATCTGTCGTTTATGAAGATATTCTCCCATACTGTAGGATGCCTTTTTGTTCTATTGATGGTGTCCTTTGCTGTACAGAGCTTTTCAGCTTGATATTGTCCCACTTGCTCATTTTTGCTTTTGTTTCCCTTGCCTGGGGAGATATGTTCATGAAGAAGTCGCTCATGTTTATGTCCAAGAGATTTTTGCCTATGTTTTTTTTTTCCTATTTGAAATATATTTATTAAATAAACACTGTATCAATAGTAACAGGGAATAAATAAGTACTTAAAGAACTCATAGTCTTACCTCCTTATAAATCTATTGGGTGATCTTTAGTTTAATTGTATTCTGATGGCTCAGGTGCTGTTCACTCTTTAGTTTCCTATGATCATTAATTAGCTATCTCTGTTTACAATTTTTTTTTTGAGAGGGCATCTCTCATATTTTTTGATCAAATGGTTGTTAACAACAATAAAATTCTGTATAGGGGACTAAATGCTCAATGTACAATCATTAATCCACCCCAAGCCTAATTCTCATCAGTCTCCAATCTTCTGAAGCATAACGAACAAGCTCTTACATGGTGAACAAGTTCTTACATAGTGAATAAGTTCTTACATGGTGAATAGTACAAGGGCAGTCATCACAGAAACTTTCAGTTTTGATCACACAGTATGAACTATAAACAATCAGGTCAAATATGAATATTCGTTTGATTTTTATACTTGATTTATTTGTGAATCCCACATTTCTCCCTTATTATTATTATTAATAATTATATTATATTTATATTATTTTTATATTTTATATTTTATATATATATAATTATATTTTATATTATATTTATATTATATTTATATTAGTAATAATAATAATAAAATGCTCAAGTGGTAGGTAGATGCAAGATAAAGGTAGAAAACATAGTTTAGTGCTGTAGGAGCAAATTTAGATGATC